TCACCAGGACATTCCTCTAAGATAACTTTGCGGGGACTGACAAGTAACCTTTCAGTTAGCAGCCAAGTGTGTTAACTGTTTGCAGCACCCAGGAGCTGCCTCATCTAGTCAGAGCCCTATGTGGAGCTTGTGAGGACAGTGAAGAGTCACACTGAGTTGTGGGTACTATGCTTAGTATCAGTAGCATTGGGCCGTAGCCCCTTGTCACCCCCAGCCAGATTGCTGCTTTCTTCTGGCAGGTTTCCTGCTTCCAGCCTTTCTCCATCAGGCTGTTCCGCACTTTGAATTGGAATTTCACATTTGAAGGGCCAGACACACATTAACATTCCAAAGCACCACATTCATTCATTTTGTCATCTGCTTGATTCAAACCTTCCTTGGCCCCCACTGCCTATCACATCCTTGTATCACTCCCTCAGATCAACTGGCGAGACCCTCTCCACCTGCCAAGAATCACCCTTGCCTGTCTGTTTTCCTGGCCAACAAGCCTCCCCACCAGGCAGCCAGCACTTAACCCATGAGCAAGTTCATCCCCTGATGAAATGTTTTTCTCCCCCACTCAGAATCAGCTAATCGCTCAGCAAACCCCTTAAGACCTCTTTACACCCCAAGGACATTTACTAGGAGCTGGGGGAGGGTGTGTGTATGCAGACAAGATGGGGCTTGGAGAAGGGCTTTCAATGGTACAGAGGCCTGCTCGTTGGGAAACTTTCTTCTTTGATGATTGCTATCTTAAAGCATTGGCTGTAAATGGGAAGAAGTACGGAGGACTTTCAGGGTTGAACCTAAGAATCGTGTCTCAGTGGGCACATCCCCAGTTCTCAGCGTGTGGGGTCCCTATTCTCACACCCCCAGGGAGGGAGAAGCTGATGGAGCTAAGACTGTACTTCTGCATTGCGGCTCTGGGCTCTGTTGAGACAGAGAGAGGTTGCCACCTATTGACAGATATGTCACCTGCAAAAAAGAAGCCTGTGTAACTAATGACTTTCTCCCCTTTCTTGCTATGATCACTGGGGGGTGGGTGTCACTGGGGTTGGGAGAACCTTAGTTTCTCTTGTTGAGTTGGCCCTCCTGTTCTCAGGATTATCATTCCAGTGTAAGGGACAAAATAGTAGCATGACAGCCCATGAGGTAATGACAACATCTCAGTGGGAAAATGGTCTGAAGAGACCTCTGGATGTGTGGAAGGAGCACTCAATCGCTAAAGGAAAGGTCAGTGGTTCAAACCCACCAGCTGCTCTGCGGCAGTCTGGTTGCGTAGATTACAATCTTGGAAACCTGATGGGGCAGTTGTACTCTGTACCATGAGTTGGAATCAACTTGATAACAGTGAGTTTGGTTGTTGGGTGCGTGACCTCACACTGTGCTGCTTACAGCATATCTCACTCAATCCCCACAGCAGTTCTTTAAAGTTAGAGTCTCTGGGTGGTGACAACAGTTAATGCTATCTGAAAGACTGGGTGTTCAAGTCTTGATGCCTTAGAAGAGACGCTTGGCAATCTACTTCCGAAAAAATCAGCCATCAGAAAGCCCTGTACTGCAAAACTCTATTCTGACACACATGGGTCCCCTTGAGGGAAATAGATTCCAGGACAACTGGTTAACCGATTGCCTTCTGTAAGGGTCAGGATTCCCATTTTACTCAGGAAGAAACTGAGGCTTAAAGAGAGAGTACCTTAACCTATAGCCGTGGCAGGTAAGTAGCAGAGGTGAGATATGGGAATTCATATCTAAACCTCTGACCTACTGACTCCTGACGTTGCTAATTATACAGATTATTGTAGTTGTTAAGTGCCATCGAGTTGGTTCCAATCCATAGCGACCCTGTATAGGGTTTCCACGGAGCGGCTGGTGAGCTTGAACCACCAACCTTGCAGTTCAAACGGCTTTGCAGTCTGGTGCATTAACCCACAGCGCCACACCAGGACTCCATACAGCATAGCTGTAAATGCTAAAATTCTTGAAGACTTCTTAGCATTAAATCATCCAGATACGAAAATAAAATACGGATAACTGTTTTCCCTTAAAAACTGTTTCTCTCACAATGGGTAGAATCATAGCTGCCACGTTATAAATGATTTAACCTCTAAGGCTCAGTTCCCTCATTTATAAAATGAGGCTTGTTGTGTGCACCATCAATTCTGATTTACTGTAACCCTATAAGATACAGTAAAATTGCCCCATAGTGTTTCCAAAGCTGTAATCTTTAGAGAGGCAGATCACCAGGTCTTTTCTCCTGCAGAAAGACTGGTGGGTTCGAACCTCTAACCTTTGAATTAGCAGCCAAGTTCTTAACCACTGTTCCACCAGCACTCCTTAAAATGAAGGCAGTAAAAGCTGATGTATGACGTTGTTGTAGAGTTTAAATGGGATCATGTATAATAAAAGTCACTTAGCATTTTTTAATGGAATCTCAGTTGTCTGTTTTCTGAAAATCTGGATTAGAATCCTCAGTCTGTTCATTTTTAGTTTTGGGACCTTGGGCAAATCACTTAACCCTTATGATTGTCAATTTCTTCATCTAATAATAATAACAATGTACATGGTTTTGCCTGGTTGTCCACACAGTAAGATGAAATCATATGCAGTGTGTGAAAATACTTTTGCACATTTTAATTGTACTTCTCAAACATTGAAATCCTATTATGGCGCTATAGGATAAACACTGGACTACTAACTACAGTATCATTGGTTCAAACCCGCTAGCCGTTCCTCGAAAACCCTATACAAAAACAAACAAACAAAAACCCTATATAGAGGTGCTATGAGTTGGAACCGACTCAACGGCACTTAACCCAAATATTAGTTGCTGTCTTTTATTATAAAGTCTGTTGGCTCAAATGGATTTTTGAGAATCCTTTCTGAAAAAGAACTTGGGCTGTATTCACCATGTAAATAAGGAGGTTTTATTTTTATTTCTGACTAAAAACAACAGCATAAGGAAAATAAGGAGACTTGATTGCTACCAGCTATTCTGTAAAAGGCAGTGACACTAAGACCATTTCTCACTGACAGCTTGCTTTACTGTTTATGATGCACTCCCAAATACATTTTTTCAGCCCGATACTCCTTATTTATCAGAAATACGGTTTTAAAGGAGCTCTGGTAGCGTAGTGGTTACGAATTGGGCTGCTAATCTCAGGTTCAGCAGTTCGAAGCTACCAGCTGTTCCGTGGGAGAAAGCTGAGGCTTTCTGCTCCCGTAAAGATTTACAACCTCAGAAACCCTGTGCAGGGTCACTATGAATTGGAACCAACTCCACAGTACTGTTTTAACTGGTTGGCCATTGCCTTTTATCTTTTTAGTGTTGCTTTGCATTCTCAGGCACAGCTTCTACGGAGCCTAGTGAATATGCTTACTGATTTTATCTCCAATCCCTGTTTAGGAAACAACATTTCCCCAGTTGCCCAGCCTTCTGGGAATGATTTCCTCTTTTCTTCCCTGTTGACCAGCTTTATTGAATTCCCCTTAGCAACATCCCAAAAAGAATTGGTTTAGCAACAGCATGTGAACCAATGGAATGTGAGCCTCGGAAAGGTTTCCAGGCCAATAGGAGCGCTGCACGACAGGCAAGGCAAGCTGGCTTGCTTATTAGAGAAAATAATAATGACTGAGCCACCTCCAGATGGCAGCAGCTGTATTGGACACCGTGTCTGTGCTCAAGCATATGCTTTGTTTTTACTTTCTTGAGTCCTTCCTGGATATAAAGTATTTACTAATTATAAGAAGCTTACGGTTACAAACTTTGTAGGGTAAGCTTTCTGTAGGATATGGTAGACATGGCCTGGAAGTAGAATCTTCAGTTCTATCTCTGCCTTTATCACAGCCAGTTCCATTACATCATTTTGGCTCCTGCTATTTTTGTTTTTTGTCACAGCCAGTGCCCGCCCAGTAACTATGGTTATTGTTGTTAAGTGCCTTCAAGTCTGTTCCGACTCATATCGACCTTGTATAGGGTTTCTGAGGAGTGGTTGGAGGGTTTGAACCACCCACCTTGCAGTTCTAAATGACCTTGCGGTCCAGTGCTTGTCCAGCACCACACCAGCAGGGTTGGAGAAAACAGATTCTCCTTTGCTTAACCCCCACGATTACTAGGCTGATGGGTAAATGAGGTGGGCTGCCTTTCTGCTACCAATTAATGTAAGAGAAGGAATGTGTCTCCTACTGACCCTGTTTTCAGGTGGTGTAGACTGAAGCGCTTTCCTGCCTTATCGGTTCTGCTTCATACATCTGAACGGGATGCCTGTCCAGTGAGCGGTTTGAAGATAGTTTAGTCTTTCTTTGTCACGTGGTTTGCTTGTAGTCTTGAAGCACAAGGCAAATGTGGACAGGTGGCTTAATAGGACCATCATGAAAAATAGCAGGTCTATGTTTCCAGTGTTTTAGCTGTCCTCTCGTTGCCAATTTAGATGATACAACCTTGAACCCCACTCAGGTTTTGGTCCTTCAGATTGCCATATTTCTATCAAATGTTTAAATGTCTGCCTGGCTTACTCTTGCTCAACCATTAAAAGTCATATTTTCAGAAAGTCTCATTTAGTTCTCACCCTCCTCCTCTCCTCCTGCTCCTGTTACTTCTGTTATTGCACTTCCATTTTGCTTTCTAAATATCTCTTTAATCTCCCAGTTCCTCTAGAGAGTCATGTTGTTTCTTGAGGACAGGAACTATGTATGCCTTTATGTCCCCTGCCCTTTGTGTAGTGTTGGCACTACTCAATAAACATTTTAAGAAGAAAGGGAGCAAGAAAGGAAGTCCTAAGCTACAGGAAACCATTTTAGTGATACAGAATGAGGTGGATTTGGGCTGGAGCAGTACTGGGAAGTGTGATATTGACTATTTCAAACGCTTCAACACCATGAGCTCTGACACTCAGAGCCCAAGCCTGAAAGATGGTTGACGCCATTGACTCATCCTGTGATGGGTTCATCTCAGTAACATAGTTTCCTTTATGATTTTATGTTTCAGGAAGAACAAAGGAGCAAATCCAAGATCTGTGCCAATGTGTTTTGTGGAGCTGGACGGGAATGTGCTGTCACTGAGAAGGGGGAACCCACCTGCCTCTGCATTGAGGTGAGCCCTGAAGTGCAGAGGGAGAAGGCAAGGGCAGACACCACATGTAGCTACCTGACTGGAGCCAGCCGTCAGCAGAGCAGTGCCAACTACCTCATCAGCTCTATAAACACACACCTTAGTCTGTCTGAAAGATGGCGAATTTTACTCTGGGGGTTCAAAAATCAGATGTGAATGCAAAAATGTTTTGGATTTTATTTTTTCCTATTTAAAAAACATGTTTAACTTTTTAGATTTTTTAAATTATAAAATTAGCACATGCTTTCAGTAAGTCAAATAGTTTATAGCCATTTGTAAGGGTGAAGTTAATGATCTTCCCCAATAATTCTCCAATCTCAGTAATGTGAGGTAACCAGTATGAAAAGTTTGATATATATTGCTCTATATACTTGTTTGTTTGTTCTGCAGATATAGGAGTTCCTCCTATTGTATATAAAAGTGGAGTCACAATAGGTCAGACAACTTGAATTTTTCACTCATTAATGTCCTCATGTGGCACTGTGGGCTAATGCGGCAGACTGCAAAGCCGTTTGAACTTCAAGGTCAGCAGTTCAAGCTCACCAGCTTCTCCTCGGAAACCCTATACAGGGTCGCTATGGGTTGGAACCGACTCAATGGCATTTAACAACAACAACAATATATTATGGTCAAGCATCCAGATCAGTACTTTGACTTCTATTTAGGAGTGTTGGTGTTGTGCTATAGAATTAGCACTGGACTGCTAACTGCAAGGTTGACAGTTCAAACCCGCCAGAAACCCACCTTGGAAACCCTATACAGGGTTGCTATGAGTCAGAACCAATTTGATGGCACTTAACCTTAGTGGTAGCGTAGTGGTTACGAATCGGGCTGCAAACCTTAAGGTCAGTGGTTCGAAACTACCAGCTGCTCTGCGGAAGAGCTTTCTACTCCCGTAAAGATTTACACCCTTGTGAGACTGTCTACTCCCGTAAAGATTTACACCCTCGGAAACCCTGTACAGGGTCGCTATGGGTCAGAACCGACTTGACGGCACTTAACGACAACAACCTTAACAACAACAGCATATTTAGAAATATGAATGAACTGTAGCTGAACACTTAGGTTGTTTCATGCTTTGTTTTTTAAAAACCGTAAACAATAATGATCTTGGGTAAACACATTTGCATTGTTGTTAAGTACTGTCATATGGATGCCAACTCATAGTGATCCTATATAAGGTTTTTTTGAGGCTGTAAATCTTTGTGGGAAATACCTTATTTTCCTGTTTTCTGGGCTTTGGTATTCTTATCTGTAAATTGGAGAGACTGGGCTAGGAAACCCTTTTAGTTCAATGCTCTGTATTTCTTTTCACTCCCTACTACATCTGCGCAGCTTTGCTTTAGTGTCTTTATTGTTAGGTCTGAACTGTTTACCATCCCTTCTCCCCTTGAAAAACAGCAAGTCCAAACAAACTGGGTTTGCCTGGGACCTTGGCACTTTACATTGCCAAGACAGAACCCAGATGCCAGATGAACTTTATTCCATTTCCCTTATCATAGTGATTCTTTGTACTGTTTCACAAAGATTCATGTATGCCCTCACCTCTACCCCTAGCCTCACAACAGGAGGTGTGAGGTGAAGAGGAAAGCAGAATGGCCCCCAAATGCTAAACAGAACAGGAGAAACAAAGATCCTTGTACTCAGACCCCAGAAAAATTGGGCTGTATGTATGTGTTGGCCAGCCTTTCAGACTCTCCTTGGTCTTTTAGGCTCTCGTCACTCCCAGCTCTTGGCTCTGGCTGTTTTATGCCACAGTAAAATGCTAAGAGATCTTAGATCATCCAAAGACATCCAAAGTTACAAAGTGTCAGAGAATTCAGATTCCCGACTCCAAATTAGATACCCACTCTACAAATGTGATAGGGTAAGATAGGTATATTTCTTCACAGAGTAAAAGAAATGACCTTGCATTGTATCAGTACAGAGGATTGTAGTGGAATGTGAGGTTATGGGATGCCTCCAGCAACAAAGAGGTATGGTCACCCATGGCTAGAGATGAGACTTCCTGTGACCTGCTGGGAACATAGGCTCCATCTATGTTGGGGGGAAGTTCCCTCACAAGTGGCTCTGTGCATGTCCATGTGTGTTGGCATCCATGGCTGCATGGCATGACCACCCTCTGGTGGGTCTATTTCAGCAATGCAAACCACACAAGAGGCCTGTGTGTGGTAGTAATGGCAAGACCTACCTCAACCACTGTGAGCTGCATCGAGACGCCTGCCTCACTGGGTCCAAAATCCAGGTTGATTACGACGGACCCTGCAAAGGTAAGGCTTCCACCACCATATCAACAACCTACCCTTGGGTAGCCAGGGAGCAGAAGGGTGTGGCCTGGCTTTCCGGAGGCCTTTCTTTCTGGACCACAGTGGCCCAGAGTCTTGGTGACAACCCAGTTGCTTGGAGATGCTCTTGAACCTGCTCCATTAGTCCTGGATGATTTGGCTGTCTGCTCAGGGTTTCTAGCAGTCAGATTCCGCAAACAGTGACCCCCAACCATCCCTCCCACAGGGTTGGTTGCTATGTCTCAACTGGTTTCAAGAATTCATTCCACTGGCCACACAGACCTCAGGCACCATACTCACAGTCTTGGGGTTTATTAGAGATATTAACGATTGCAGTTCAGGGTCAGAGATGTTTAGGGCACAGTTCTTCTAGTTAAGACAATCTTTACTCAGCTGTGCCCACAGGCAGGTCTCTCTCTGGCCTCTGCCCTACTCAGACAATGTTAATGTTTCTAATTAGCTCCAACCCCTTACCAAGACCCATCTTGCCCAGCCCTTCTCAGACTTGTATTTTCTTGGAGAAACAGGTTTTGTCAATTGTTGAACTCCCTCCATTCCCTTGTCCATAATGATTCTACATATGAATTCATTAACTCCCATTGGCCACCCCACAACATAGCAGGAAGAGGTATGGGGCCAGGAGAGAAACCTGGTGCCCTTAGAATGCCAAGCAAAGCAGAAAATAAAAGATCCCCATACTTATGCTTTTAAAGAAGGAGAGAAGACCACCTAAAGATAAAATGCTGAAAAAGTTACCAACCTCTCCACTTAACGAGAGACAGTTTTAATGTTAGTAATGTGCAGAAAAGTTCTTTTTCTTCATTTCACATTACAAACCTTCTGCTTTTGTCTTACAGAGAAGAAGCATGTAAGTCCATCTGCCAGCCCAAGTGAGTACCCTTTTTTTTTCTTTAATAATGTGTATCATAAGGAGCTCTGGTAGCGTAGTGGTTACGAATCGGGCTGTGAACCTTAAGGCCAGCAGTTCGAAACTACCAGCCACTCCGCAGGAAAAAGATGAGGCATTCTGCTCCCGTAAAGATTTACAGCCTTGGAAACCCTGTACAGGGTCACTATGGGTCGGAATCGACTCGAAGGCACTTAACAACAACAACAACAACAATCATAGAGAGGAGATTCTTTTCATGGTGGAAATGTTGTGTTCCACAATCCCAGCCAGTGATTACAAAATCTTCTGTGGGTCAGAACCTGTGACCCTGAACTGAACACTCCTTCCCTACTGCTCAGAAAAGCTGCAAGCCAGCATTTTCTTGTGCTTTCAGCTGAAGCACCAGATTGAGTCAGAATGTTGGGTGTGGTTTCCATTTTTGCTGAGTGGTACTTGTGCTGTGAGGACAGGAAAGTCATTGAGACATGCTGATGACATGGACCCAAGTCTTCTTGAAAGGGCGTTCTTGGAAATATCAGGAAGACAGCTTCCACAACCATTAATATGAAAGGGCTTCAAAAAGTTCATGAAAAACTTTCATTATCATTTCATTCCATTTTTCGATGAATTTGGTGAAGCCCCGTAGTACAAGTTGACATTTCCTCATGGTTTATAGTTACCCCTTTAGCATCATACTTTTTTTCTAGGTCTTCACCACAACCTTATGATGTGTATATCTTATTACAATTAACCTTAGAGATGAAGAAATTGAGGCTCAGAGTGGTTAAGTAAGTTTCTCCAAATCACACAGCTAGGCAGTAGCAGAGTAGGGAAGAGTCTCCAGCTTTTCACTCTCCTGGCCCTTTTCCCTTTTCCCACTCCAGCTTTTGCTGTCTTTTAGGACTTCTTTTCTGCTTAGGTCTCTCCTTTCCTTGCTTTCTGTGCCTCCAGCTCTCAGCACAGCCTGTTGTTTACAGTATAGTTTACAACCTGTCCAGAGCAGGGTTTGAACATGGTCCTTTACTGGCCTTGTTTTCTGTTGATAATAAAAGTTGGTTGTAGGTGATGTAAAATTTTAAGTGGGAGAAACTTTTCATAGATCCCACTGGTGAGAGGAAAAAGTTATAACTGGAGAATCATCAATCCAGTGACATAAAGAATTATAAAGATCTCATTTATCCAGGTATTATATCAGCTCATGTTTAAGCCAAAACAGCTGCTTTGTTTATTGATTCCCTCCACCCCAGCTTCCTAAAGTTCATGAAAATGACCTTTGTGTTTCTGATCTAGTCTTGCCTCACCTAAGCTACGTACTCTCCGTGTTAAACAGTCTTTTCGAGCTTTATCAGTTATTTTATAGACCCATGGGCTTGAACCCTGGGGTAGATACCTTCCAATTCTGTTCCCTGGGTTTACTCCCCTGTCAGATGAGAGTGATAATCCTGTCTCTCTGGAATATGGTGATCAGTGCCGAACTACCACCCGGCACAGGACTTCCCATGTAGCAGTTACTCCACGACGTCATGGTCCTTCCCTCACCACTTAGCTCTCCTGCCTCTCTTTCCTGCAGTTGTTTGCTACCAGTCTAACCGCGATGAGCTCCGGCGTCGCATCATCCAGTGGCTGGAAGCCGAGATCATTCCAGATGGCTGGTTCTCGAAAGGCAACAACTACAGTGAAATCCTAGACAAGTACTTTAAGGTAAACCTGAGTTGGTTTTCAAGACTGTGCAGCTGTAGAGAAAGGGAGGTCTCCTCCTCCCATTGCCTAATCACCTCTTCCCAGACCAGGAGGAAATAGCAAATGTGCATAGAGGTCCCTGAATGTTTCCTTATCATAGATCATTTCACGGAGCTGTGAAAGTTGTCTTCTGAGCAGATTGACCAAGGGCAATCATAGAGAGACAGACCTTTCTGATCTGTAAGCCACATGCACTGCTCCATCTGGGCAGTTAACCCCACAGTGGGCTTGGAGAGCTAATCAGTGGGAAGCTCTCTGTATGACGATCTGAGAAGAGACATTGGACTGGCATTTCACTGACTCAGTGATTCTTCCTGAACGTTGTTATTGTTGCTCCCCATCATATTTTGTTGAAGAGACAGATTAATCCAATCGAGGGTAGAAAATATGCTACTTTCAAAAAAGAAAATGAAGGAGCAAATAGTATTTAGCAGTGGGTAGAGCCATCATGGTGTGGACATCTGTCAGTGTTTAAGATAGTTGTGTGGAAGAAGCAGTTAAAGGTGCTCCTCCAACCTATTAATAAGAACACACACACATTTATATACATCATATACAGAAATAAAAAATCACACACAAACATACTGCATAAGTAACACCAGACACTACACACTTTTATTCACTTGCCAAGCAGAGACACACACACACTTCCACAGTTACACATACTTCACACAAGATATGCACCCCCACATAGAGATACTTAGAACACACAGAAACACACCCACCCACACAGAGATACACATACCACACCCTCAGAGATACATACAGCTACACCCAGATACCTACATTCCCACATAAACTCAAAACTCCCTTCACTTAAGGCACACATCTCTAGGTAGATGCCCTCTGATACTTATCCGTAGACATATACTCCCTCACAGTCTTCTAGTGCCTGATGTCCTTGATCCTAGCCAGCCAGGACTCAAAGCAACTCCCAACACATGAAGATACAGGGCAGGGTCACTCTGAGGCCACCATATATGGCCAGCACCACTCTCGTTAATGGATTCTTCTTTCTAACTGACGCTGGTTCGGCCCCCACAAACTGAGAAATACTGGGTTGAACTGAAAAGGATATTGGGTCCATTCAGACTTCGCTTATGCTGTTTTTACATGGAGATTTCCCTCCTTGTAGCAGAAATTGCATCTCAGGAATCCAAGGTTTTGGATGCACCTAGGTGGAGGGAAGAGCTCAATCATTCGCTGTGTCTTCTGTCTCCACCGCTGCCACACCACGGAGCCCTTGGTGGGAACAGGGGCGGGGGCAGTTCCCCTTACACAAAGGAAATGCACCATATTGCTGAGCCAGGAGAGTCAGGAGCAAAAAATAACTTAAAATGATTTTCAGAAGCTGAGTGAGCAGCCCCTACACCTTACCCATGGTGAGCAGTGACTTTGCCCCGGTGATTACAGCACAGGTGTACCTGAGACCCAGGCCACTCTTTCCTAGGGGTACTGGGGACCTTGCAACTGTTTGCAACAGCCCTTTGTTGGCTTTATAATTGACAGGTGTCATTAGATTGGATTCCCCACACTCCCTTTTTCCCACATCCCCACCTCCTCCTGCAGTAACTTGCTCTAAATAGGCTCCCATCTGAAAACTGCAAGTCCCCATGAGAAAATAGCTTTTCTCTAGGGCATTTCACTCCCAACTAAGAAAGCTTGTTCATGACTGACAAACAGTTCTCTTGCTCTTCAGACTCTGGCAGTGTCTTCCAGGACAAAAATAGGAGTTTAACTTTCTACTCTGATGATTATCAGAGCCCTGTGTGATGCTGTCTTCAAAGGAAGACTCCCTCTCACCATGTACTACAGCTGCCTACTGGTGCTGATAAATAACAAACACGGCTTCGAAACCAGAAAATTACTGTCTGGCCCAGCTGTCAGTTTTTAATACCAGAATTACTTGAAACACAAACCTAATCAGAATCTGGAGACAGCCAATCTGACTTTCACCTCAACTGGTGGTTCAGGCACTGTTTCTAAGATGAACAGATGATAAGATGAGTAAGAGAAGACGCTAGCCTTTCAGGTCGATCACACACACACACTGTGACCCCTGGTGACAGAGTCCTGGTGTCCAGAGCTGAAACTGGAGCCAGTCTTTTCCCCTTTACCTGGTATCACATCCCCTGTTGCCCCAGCTGTTGTATGTGAGTGGAGCCTAGCCTGGCTCAGCCTATGCCCTCTGAACAGTCTTTAACGACAGAATGATAATGAATCTTGTAACATTTCTGTAAATGAATCTTTCTACCTTGCCACAACCTGATAATAATATAGATGACAAGTGTTAATTCAAATACAAAACTGGGAGATACAGGCATATACTATGCCTTTGTCACTGGTGGGCTGTTCAGAGGCCAAATGAATAAGGTTGGTGTATAGTCCAAGATCTTGAGCTCATAGGCAGCTAGGTCATCTGGGTTTTTCAGGCTGTGTCTGAGGCCAACACCAGACCTGTGTGCCCACATGTAGATCTGACTTGGGGCCCTGATGAGAAGAGAAAGCAGGCAGCTGAGACCTCCCCATAACCCATGCCTTTCCTAGATCCTGAGGCTGCATTGAGTATACAGCATGTGCCTCACTCAGCATTGCCTTTTGAGAGCTGTCTGAACCATAGATGTCAGGGGCAGGTTGCCCATGATGCTCTCTGACACTGGGCCTCCAGCCATTGCTGGGCTGTCCATGCCCTGCATTCACTCTGTCCTCAAGCTCTGTTGGTGTCAGGGTCTGTAAGGGCCACTCTGGTCTGTCCAGCATGTGCAATATTTGGACTTAAGAAAGTTTTGTGCGCCCAGGAATGGCACCTGACCAAATTTATTTATTTACTCTCCATTATTTAATCAAGAAATCAAAACCTCACAAGGTGACCACTTAGGGAAGTTTCTGTAGTGGGTGTATGATGGTTAAAGACTATCTGAGACTTGTTCTTAGGAATTCAGACAAGAATGATAAATCAGTACTAAGCAAAGGCCAACAGGGGTACTTTATAAATACTCACATTATATGGGAGCACAGTGGCTCTGTAGGATAATCACTGGACTGTGAACCACAAGATCAGCAGTTTCAGCCACTCCGTGGGGAAAGATTTACAACCTTGGAAACCCTGTACAGGATTGCTGTGAGTCGGAACCGACTCAACACTTAACAACAACATCATTATACATGCCAGGGCAAGATTTACCACCTGGGAGTGGAATACAAGTGAGGCATGATAGTCACAAAGGGAGAATCCATAGGTAGATCTTTGGCTGCTACTTAGAAATCTGGACAACTGAGTTTCCAGAAGCCCCTGCATTGTCTGGGAAGCCACTGTGAAAGTGACATGGGGATGCTGATCCCCTCCCAGCAAGGCCAGCAGTATGAGACAGCGTATAGGAAAAGAATTTAAGGGGAAAGGAACTGCCATTGGGTCTGTTTAGGAGAGTAGCAAGCAGTATCCCAACTTGGAATTTGATCAGAGCCTTGAAATGAATACCACCATCCTGCAGATAGGGCATGGACATCTAGAATCATCCCACATAGCTAAAGTATCAGTTTTGTATCTTGCCAAAAAGAGATCAACACCTGCGCTCGCTATACCCTCGTCTCATATTCATGGGATGTCATCTTGGCATCGAGGACACCCTGCACTGGTCGTCAGGGACCTGTGTACACATCTGCACAAAACAAAATAGTGTGGGAGCTCTGCAACCTCCGCCTGCTAGTTATGGATTTGCTTATGACATCTCAGTGATGTGGTCAGTTAGGGTAACAGTGTGAAACTGAAGCACTGAGAGCAAAACAGAGGTTAGAAGCCAAGCAGCAAGAAATGATGCCAGGATTCACAAAGTGAGCTCTGAAGATCACCTGCATCCTTTTCCCGAAGAGCTTATTAGGAATGTACACCTTGGGCTGCAACATAGAGATTCTGGTTCACAGCTTTAGACTCTGCTATGGAGGAGCCCTGGTTGTTGTTATGTGCCATGGAGTTGGTTCTGATTCATAGTGACTCTGTAGAGGGTTTCCGAGGCTGTAAATCTTTATGGGAGCAAAAACCCTCATCTTTCTCCCGCGGAGCAGCTGGTAGTTTTGAACTGCTGACCTTGCGGTTCGCAGCCCAATTCATAACCACTACGCTACCAGAGCTCCTTGGAGCCCTCGTACTATAGTGAGTTATGCATTAGGCTACAAACCACAAAGTCAGCAGCTCGAGTTCAAGAGAGAAAGATGAGGCTTTCTGCTCCTGTAAAGATTTACAGCCTTGAAAACCCTACACAAGGTTGCTGAATCAGAATTGACTCTTCAGCACACCACCACCCCCATAACCATTATTTCAGCATCAGAGTTTGCAAACATGGTGTGATGGCTGGTCAGATTCCAGAGGTAAAGTAGAAAATGTCAGTAGGATTGTATTGGGTACCTTAGGCTATGTGGACAGCTCACACTCCTTTGAAGACTGTCCTCCTAGACAGGGTCGGGATTTGAAAGGACCTCAGTGGTCCTTACAAAGCACTTTTGTTCCCACCTTGGGCACAAACACTTTGTCCGATGCCTCAGAGAATCGAGCCTGTGTTGCTATAGTTCTCTCAGGTCAGGGCAGAACAGGGCAAGATTGGAATCTGACAAGAACGTGGTGAACTAGAAATGGCTGAGGTGGGAGTGGTGGAGCTGGGGTCCTATAAAACTCTGAACCAGAAACCTCTCTTCACTCCCTTTCCAGAACTTTGATAATGGTGATTCTCGCTTGGATTCCAACGAATTCCTGAAATTTGTGGAGCAGAATGAAACCGCCATCAACATTACCACGTATGCAGACCAGGAGAACAACAAACTGCTTAGGTGAGTGGAGCCAGAGAGTTAGGGAGTGACCAACAAGGAGAAGGCCAGATCTGAACCCGGTAAATCCATGGAAAAGCCATCAGTGCCAATGTGAAGTGAAAAACAAAATAAGAATTCTGTCTGATTCTTTTTTTTCTCATTTAGACTAATATATTCAATATTAATATATAATGAAATAGTGATTGGTTTTGCCCAAGTCTTGCCAGGAATAGAAATAATGTAATTTTAAAACAAATGAACAAGGTCACAGTTGTTGTTAAGTGCCGTTGAGTGGGTTCCAACTCATAGCAGTCCTGTATAGGATTTCCAGGAAGCAGCTGTTGTGTTTGAACCACCAACCTTGCAGTTCAAACCAAACTTGCATCGAGTGCTTATCCTACAACGTCACACCAGGATTCCACGTCACAATAGAGTAAAGGTAAATAAGTTCCTGAGTATTATGGGTAAACTTTTAGAATTTTTTTTTCTGAAGAAATTATATTAATATGCTATTTAACTATAGGTCTAATTTAGCTTTAGTTCTGATTTTAAGGTAATCAATGCTATTTCAGAAAGAGATCCCTAATTGTTATGAATATGAGTATGTCTCTCGCTTTTCCTGGTGTTATTCCAAGTGGTGTGGTTCAAGCACATGAGTAAGAATAATAGGAAAAGCACCACTTTTGTTCAAAAGTAACACAAAGCACAAAGGCCACCTTCTACAAAGATTCTTTTCTTTTTTTTAATTATAGCAAATTGGAGACCTGAAGATACAAAACATTTAGTCAATTTCTACTTGTACACGTCAGTAACATTGGTTACATTTTTCAAGTCATACAAGCATTTTCGTTTTTATTTCAAATCATCCAACCAAAGGATTCTCTCTTAATAAAGCCCATGATCATAAAGTTTCAGATCTGCAAATCCTTATTTAGAGCTTAAAATAACTGAAATGTGAGGATTTTTTTTTTTTTTTTTTACAATTGCTATGTTTGAATCACAATATAACCCAGTGAAGGAGGGCTCCTTGTCCTCATTTAAGAGGTGAGGAAACAGGTTCAGAAAGATGAAAAACCAGCTCAAGGCCATATGGGTAGTAAGTAATGGACCCAGGGCTCAAACCCAGGCTGAGTAGAAAGTGATGTAGCTGGTGTTCTATAAAACTTTTCTGCGAGATTTCTTCATCCGCCTTTTGGAGCAGTAATGTTGACTCTTGTTTGAACTATTCCTTCAAATCCTGTACTTTTTCTTGCAAACCTTTCATATATCTCCTGTTTTGATTTTACTACTTGACACTTTTGCCATGAAGAAAGGCAATTATCTGCGAAAGGTTTGCAGGTAGTGAAAATATTTGTCAATCAAGGTGTCAAAATTCATCCAGGAAGCAGTAGTTGACCTGGGAGGAACGTTTGAACAGTTTTGAGTGATCGATCCAACATATAGTATAATGAGCTGAAGGTTGGCTGTCAAGATGATAATGGTGGTGGGAGGTCCGTGTAGAAGGAAGCTTTTTGATTTGACTTCCTGCAGAGGTCCCAGGTGTACAGCAAGTACTTCCTGATGTTGAATTCCTTTGGCTCATGAATGAAGCTGAGATCTTACTGACACATTTCTATTTCATTTCAGAGGACTTTGTGTTGATGCTCTCATTGAACTATCTGATGAAAATGCTGACTGGAAACTCAGCTTCCAAGAGTTCCTTAAGTGCCTCAACCCATCTTTCAACCCTCCAGAGAAGAGTATGTTTCCCTCACCTTAACCTAAGAAATACAGGGAATTATAAGGGATGGGGACATTTGAGAGTCATAATAGAGAGGATTGGTAGAGTTTTTCAGAATTTACTGGGTAAATCCCCTTCTAAGATTCTAAACTGGACCCCAGCCCCTTGTTTCCACAGTGATCCTAGAGTCCATAAATCTTTGTGTTGATGGTGATGTTTGCTCAGATACAGCATCTCTGAGGGATAGGCAGGTCTTGTCTGAGAATAGGATAAGGTACTCAGATTGCAACCCAGTTGCCTTGTCTTACTTTCACAACTAAAACTATTTCTCCTTTCTTTCTTATTCCAACAGAGTGTGCCCTGGAGGATGAGACATACGCAGATGGAGCTGAGACTGAGGTGGACTGTAACCGCTGTGTTTGTGCCTGTGGGAACTGGGTGTGCACGGCCATGACCTGTGATGGTGAGCTATGCCCTAGGCCTTGGACAGAGGGAAAGAATAGCAGGGAGAGAGAGCTTCCTCCATGAAATCACCATGAGGGAAGCCAGGGTGGGGATAATGCAGAATCTGCAGTGGCTGGGAGACAGCACAGACTTGTAATGATGACACTCCCAATAGGCAGCCCTAGGGGCAAAGCACTTAACCTAGAAGCTTCTTTAAGTTTAAAAACTCCAGAGGCTTGGCGTGAAAGAAGACCTAGACTCAGGGTAAGAGTAAAGCTTGATTAGAGACTTAAATCGTTATTTAGTGTTAACTCTGCCAGGCACTCTTCTAAGCATTTTTCATGTTACCTCACATAATTATTGTGACAACTTAAGAAGACTCGGGTAGTTGGCAGACAAAATGACAACTCTTGGCCATACCCAGCAGAGAAAGGGAAAATGTTCTTAAATTCTCTTTCAACTAACAGAATTGGATAATCCTAAAAATAGAGTCCTGGTGTGGCATAGTGTAGGTTAGGCACTGAAATGCTAATGTCAAGGTCCATGGTTCAAACCCACCAGATGCTCCTCAGAAACCTTATACAGGGTCACTATGAGTTGGAACTGACTCGATGGCACTTAACAATAACAATAAAATTAGAGAAAGTCAAGACATGGGTAGAGGTGATTGGAGAGATAGAAATGTCAGAGGGAATCCCATACAGAGGCTGAAGGGTAGATTGAAGCCTTTGGTGTTCCAGCAGGCTCTTAGGACTATAATGATTCCAAAGAGGTTGAGGAACTCTTGAATCAAAGCAGTCTCCATCAAAGAGTCAGGAACCATTCTGATTGGAAGCAAGAAAGAGAAAGGTGTTAAAGTCAGGTCCAAAATAGAGGGTCACATTGAAGATGTCAGTTGAAAGGAACCAGGCCCAAAATTTACACCAATGGAGTAAACTTAAGATTATATTTAAAGAGTTAATTTGAGGCAAGAAAGAGAAGGATCATGTTCAAGAAGGTTGGGTAAGATGATAAGTTGAGACAGAAGTCTGGAACCCAGGAAGAGGGTCTTCTAGGCAGAGAGCCCTGGAAACACCCGCCGTATAAGTGGAACCTGATCCTAGCCCAGGACCATGACTGTTGTTAACATGGGGGGAAGGAGGCCAACCTAACTCCAGAAACAAGTGAAGGAACAGAAAGAGGTCATTTAGACACTAGAAACTGTCAGAAGTCAAAACCACTCCAGAAAACCCAGACCAAGCACACATCAGCTACTGAAGCCATCACAGAGCATCTCAAAACACTGGCCCAGCCTGCCTCAACCTGGAAGCTTCCTATACCCTTTGCTGTCAGAGTCCTTGGTGCCTCCCCAAAACACCCTCCAGTATCTCTCCACACCTAATTTCTCCTGTTCTGACTATGTAAAGCTCCCTTCCATTTCCAAGACAAAGGTAGTTAGCATGCTGCTGGTTTAGAGCTTTAATCATGATCACATGGATAATAAACCCCTTCACATGCTTCAGACAAAGCCAAATAATCACTTCCATGGGGCAATGACCTTCTCCACAGTCACACGGGCCTAGACTGCTTTAGGTGGCCCAGGTTCAGAGCACTAAATGGGTATAAAGAAGAATCCAGATGGTGGCCCCTGCCTCAGGGACCTGACAGGTCTTGATGTACAAGCCATGGATCAGAAAGGAAGTTGAGAGGTATGACTCCAAGGGATATTCAGGTCAGTGCTGAAAAATTAGTAGTGTGATCTTAGATCACAAATCCAAATGAGGCAAATAGAAGGGAATCAAGATGTGAAGCCAGATGGTGCCAGAGCCACTGGAAGGTGCTTGTGAGGGGCAGATTGATGCCCATTTCAGGAAGGCATGTCCTCTCTTAACAATAGACATTATCCTTGATCAACATACAAGTTTCTGGGCTCCATCCCAAACCTGTAAACTGAATTACAAGCTGCAAAAAATTAGCTTGGGGGCCTGTATTTTTAAGATGTCTATAGTGTGGCGCTGAAGGATAAGCGTTCAACCATAAGGTCAGCTTGAACCACAAGGTTGGTAGTTCAGACTCACCACCCACTCCTAGGAACCCTAAACAGTGTCACTATGAGTTGGAACCTAGTTGAAGGCACTTAACAAAACAACACCACTATGTGGGTTTGTTGTTGTTGTTGTTTTTAATCACTGTACAAGTTAGGGAAATGCAGTGGTCAATAACCCTACTCAGAGTCACCTGTTGTGCCATCTAATCCATTCTGACTCATAGCAAAGCAACCCTGTATCAGGTTTCTAAGGTGTAAATCTTTACTAGAGCAGAAAGCCTCATCTTTCTCCCATGGAGTGGCTGGTGGGCTCAAACAGCCAACTTTATGGATAGCAGTCCAGTACTTATCCTACAGTATCACCATACTCCCTTAGAATCACCTAGAAAGCCTTTTAAAAGCCCTGGTGCCCAGACACCACCTCACATCAGTTAACTCAGAATCTAGGCAATTGTGTTTTTAAAACATGCTACAGGAAATTGTGAGACCCTGTACATTTTTGAGAATCACTACCCCAGAGGAATTTCCTGAGTCAGGATCCAGGTTTACACTGTAGCTTTTTCTGCTTGGCTAGCTGTAGCCTCTGGCATGGATGTACTGGGAACACTTCATGGAGTTGCTCCGGATGGAGGCCAGAGAAGAGTGGGTGTGGGGTGGGGAGTGGAAGGAGATAGTTTTGTCTACTGTGTGTTACCTTGGAAGTGTCGGCAGCACTGGGTACTTCATGCTTACATATTCTGAGAAATGAGGTTACTTCGACTCTCTTATAACTTAAATGAGAGATCACACTGAGAACTTAAAAGATAAATGTTGGTGGGAATCTATAACTGGATTCCCCGAGCTAGCATTGTTTTGAGCCTTGCTTCTTTTGCAGGAAAGAATCAGAAAGGATCCCAGACCCACACAGAGGAGGGAATGACCAAATACGCCCAGGAGCTCCAAAAGCACCAGGTGAGGGGCAGTCTTCATGCTGGTTTGGAAGTCCCTGCTGCTACCAGGCTCTCTACCACTCAAGAACCTCCTGGTGCCCAGGAAACCAAGGAGACACACTTAGGGCATGCATAATACTATCACATCATCTGTGTTAAACCATGGCACATGGTAATTCACTGATGAAATTCTTAAAGGGCCTATGTTCCAGCAAATGTAGGTTACAACTTGGTGAGTTCCTGCTTTAGTAAAAATCAGCTAGAAGGTGGTTTGCAGATGAGAATATCTAAAGAAGTGCTACTGTTTCTTGTCTTGACAAGTGCCCAGGCACAAAGACTGGCAGCTCCTTGAGGGCAGGTCCTGTGACTAGCTCATTCCTGTATCTATTACAGGGCCTGGGACATAGTCTGCACTCATTGAGCTTAGACTGCAGCAAAAAGGATTGAAGTTTCATGCCACACTGACTTCAAAACACAACCAGGGATTGACAAACACTGGGAGCTAAGAAGTTCCTTCCTAGAGATGTTTGTAAGATAATAATAAATTAGAATTCTGTTCAGTTCTATATCATTCATTTTGAGAGGTGATAAAGTCCTTAGTGATCCACTGAGGTATTTTGCTAAGCACCTAGAAAGAATATGGAAATGTTTGGCTCCTGCATCCATTGTTCTAGACTTACCTTGTAGTTTTAAAAATAGATACTGTCTGTTGACCTCTTATATATAGACCGGATAGTAATACAAGCATTCCCTCTGACATATATAAATTTATCAGGAATATAGTGGTCACAAGAACTGCTAAACTATTAGAAATGAAATCTGATAATGAGTATAAAGAACTAGTAATAACAATTGCTCATATACATTTTGTCACTGAAAATGTGGAGACTTCATATCTGTTTTGTAAACAGAAGAGGAAGCTGCTAATCTTTTTTTTTTCTTCTCATATTTCAACAGTCTTGAGTCTCTTGATGAGTAAGTATAGCCCCCTAAAAGAAAAAAACACTTAGTTGGAATCTCTTTCAGTTAGGGTAGAGAAAGTATAAACGTAGACAGCAGAGAGTAGATTTTAATAGCTAACATTTTAAAGTGTCTCTCTTGTATGTGAGTTCCCTCAGAAGAATGCCTGAGCTGAGGTCTCATGCACAGATCATTTATTTGGGAGGCAATCCCAAGAAACACCAGAAGGGGAGCTGAGAAATGAACCCAGCAAGGGAAAAATGCAATGAAGAATATGAACTCTGTGGACAAGTGGAACCTGATCCTCTTGGGGAACTCTGGGGAAAGGGTTATTGTGCCTCAGGGAAAGAAGCCAGAGAATATATACAAGAACTTGCATCAGCCAGGAGGGCTGCAACCAGAAAGCCTTAATTCCCTGGCATTTCTGACCTGCCAGCATGAGCCATTCGCTGGCAGCCAAACAAAGCGCTCAGGCAAAGAGGTGCAGGTGCTGACAGGAAGAAGCCATGCCAGGGCAAGGGGATTCTGGGTAGTGCAGCAGCAATAACTGCTACTTGCCAGGCACTGATGGAGTTTGTTTTTTTCCCTATGTAGTTTCTTTTATTAGTATGTAATTCACATAATATTCATCTATTTGTATACACAATCTAATTCCAAAATATTTTCACCGAAGGAAACCCCAGGTCCATTAGCAATTCCATTCCCTTTCCCCAAGCCTCTTGCAACCACTAATCTACTTTCTGACTCTACAGATTTGCCTGTTCTTGGCATGTTAAATAAATGGAAAAAATGTGGCCTCTTGTCGGGCTCCTTCCACTTACCAATGTTTTCAGAGTTCATTGTGTAGCATGAATCAGTAACATGAATTTATTCATGACTGAACAATCCATTGTATTACTATTATATACCATATCTTACTTATGCATTCACCATTTGATAGATATTTATGTTGTTCCTACCTTTTGACTGTTATGAATAATGCTGCTATGAATATTCCTGTTCAAGTTTTTCTGTGGACATATATTTTCAGTTCTCTTGGGCATTTACCTAGAATGGAATTTCTGAGTCGTGGTAACTGTATTTTGCTTCTTGAGGAGCTGCCAGATTATTTTCCAAAGGGGTTACACTATTGTACATCCCCACCAGCAATGTATTAGGGTTACAACTCCTCCACATCTTTGCCACCATTTGTTTTTTTCCGTATTTTCTAGTTTAGCCATCCTCGTGGGTGTGGCATAGTAGGGCAAGCAGTGGAAAGCTAACCGCAAGGTCGGTGGTTCCAACCCACCAACTGCTCCTTAGAAAACGTATACAGGCTCACTATGAGTCAGAACCAACTCAGTAGCACTTAACAACAAGTGATTTATGATGTTGACCAGCCTTTTGTGTGTTTATTGGACATTTATATGTATCTTCTTTGGAGAAATATACTTGATAGACATAGTTGGTGCTGTTATCCTCATTTTATAGCTGACAACATTGAGGTATAGATATGTCCAAGGTCACCTAGAAAAGTTGGGTTCAAAACATCTTTCAACAACTTCCAGTGACTATCTTTTTCTTTATCCTTAAAATAGGGATGTAATGTCTGATTTACATATTTTATAGGTATTCAAATGGAGCCATGTCTTAATTCAGAAAGCCCTTCTTATATTCCAAGAACTGTGCTGAATATGGGGGAGTCATAGTCTTTGCCCTCAAGTCGTTCATTCTCCATGGAAAGACGATAAGAAAGCAATTAAAATTCAGCATGATAAGCAGATATCTGTCAATACTATAGATAGTCTTGAATGTTAGATACAGGCAAAAGAGGTTTTCCATTTTTTATAATTATTTTCTTCTATTTCTTAAAGGAAACAGCTGAAAAGACCAAGAAAATGAGCACCAAAGAGATCTAATGAGGAGGAATCTGGGAACGGTGTCTGGAGCAAGCCACCTTCCCTTCTACTTCAGCGCTGAGTCCAATATACGCAAGTGTCTGCTACGATTGCCAAATCACCAGTATTTGCTTGTATAGCAATGAGTTTTATTTTGTTTATTTTGTTTTGCAATAAAGGAAATGGGGGTGGCTGACAGAGAGGGAAAGAGCCATATAACCTTCATCTCTCACAGTGCTTTGAAAGAAACTCTGTAAATGGTGCTCGGGGGCTGGAGGCAAGTAAGGAGACTGCATCAGGATTAGGAAAGGAGCAGACCCAGATCAGAAGCCCTTCTGAGTCCACCACAGGAGGACAGGCAATACCAAAGAGACCTTATCAGGCTGTCCCTGGAAGAGGGGTTTGGGAAGGTCAATGGAGAAGAACGCATTCTGTTTCTGGCCATTTCCCATTGTCCTCAGCATGACAGAATGCCTGCACCTGCTTCTCCTCACAATCCCAGCTACTTCCTCTAACTCCATATCCATCCAGCTGTGTCTCAGATTTAGAACTTCTGAGAGGGTGCACCTGAACGTTGCAGATACTTACCTACTTCAGTCTCTTTAGAGACCTAACCAAATTTCTAAAAGTACTTTTTACCAAAGGTGCTATTTTTTTCTGTAAAACACTTTTTTTGGGGGCACTTGACTTCATTTTTCAGTTATTATCATTATATTATTATTATTTTCATGTTTTCTTGAATAGAAATGAAACTTTTTTTTTTTTCTGTCGATAGTCCTACCTTGTCAGAGGTGGGAGACTTTGGGGGTTCTTCCGTGTTTTGTGCTCCTTGGGCAGAGTTCCCCATCACCCAAACTCCTCCCATCTTGTCACAGACTAGCAACAGCCCAGGGCTTGCTTCTCTGGCTTCTAGTGGTTCAGCAGTCTGTCCGAGAAATGCCTAGTCAGAAGCCAGGTGAAGAAGACACATCTTCATACAAAGCTTTCAAGGTCCAAAAGGCTTATTAAGGGTTTTCATTTATTCTGAGAATTTCAGTGCAATTCAATTCCTAAGGCTGGAAATGAGAAATATGTGCAGCTATGTAGGCCATAGGGTATTCCAGCCTACCAATATGCTAACTGGTCCACCAATTAAGTAGGAGAGTGACCTTTGGCCCCAACTTTTCCCATTTCTGAGCCTCATTTTCCTCAGTGAGTAAGCAGAAGTAGATTAACCTTTAGATTTGATAAATGAATAAATTCCCTGGTCTGGTCATTGGTCCAGAGGGAACCAGATTCCTATGATTCCCCACTTCTCCTTGGGATAAACGAAACCTGTTCTAACAAGAACAGTCAGTCCAAAACAAGGTGACCAAATTTGATCTGGGTCCATTAGAACCATAGGTTGTGCCGTGATGTAGAAACCTCATGGATAATGCCTGGACAGGAAGTGAATGGGAAAGAGAACCACCCCCCCTTGAGTCTTCTCTTCTGCATTTCATGTTGAACCTCATTGTGGAAACAGCAGTAGCTTTCCCTTTAGAGATGAGGACCAGTAATGGCTTCGGGTTTCTTCAAGAGGGGAAAAAAGGAAATTAAATCTTCAAACTGATAAGGCAAGATGTCAACCCTACATCTTCTGGCTGCTATTAAGATGCATTTGAAATAACAAGAATTGAAAATTTGTTACAGCAGATTCCAGAGGGAAAGTATTTCAGTTGTAATGCACAGACAACAGTGAGACACTGTTCTGCCTAAACTGGAATTCCTTCTTGTTCTCCTTTGAAAGGACATCCCACTCTTTAGAATCCTGAGCTTTTATGTATCATCCCATTTAAAAGGTCTCTTCCAACCCCACTTGTGCAATCCAAAATGTGCTTCCCTGTCCAAGGGCCTCAGAGAGCTCACAGTGGCGTACACCTTAATAATAAAAAAGTCTTTAGACTATGGGAGAGAAGGTCAGGAATACCAATTTGTATAAAGCAGGAGCCAGACTGCCTCTTCACCAATCCCATTTAGGACTGTAGTTGCCATCCAAGACTATCCCACTCAGCAACACTGAATTCTCAAAAGCAAATCTACATTCCTCCGGAGCTCTGCTGTTTCTATGTAAATAGGGCAGCTGGTGTCTGCACTGGAGAATCACATAATCAGAGGGCTATTCATGGAAAGCTGCCGAATAGCCTGGTTTGGGGAGTCTTGCATTTGAGCTTTGCATGGAGCAAACAAACAGGATTAAATTAGGCTTAGTTCCTTCTGCCCTCTAAAAGCACAGGGCTTAGACTGCAAGCTTCCTGGGGCTTTCTCTGTGTATGCATGTGGTTTGATAAACGTAACAGCATCTGTTAAAACCCAGTGTCCATGGAAACCGTCCCACAGGTCATGACTCTGGATACCATTACTGTTTTGAGAAAGCAGGACTCCTCCACCTGCTAATACATCCATGTGGACCAAGCTCTGAACATCTTTCCTTTTTTTTTAAATAGTCAAAATTTCAAGAAATAATTTGAAAAGGTTACTGTTGCCTCTGTGTTTGTGAAATGTATTTGTATTTAGTAGGCTTCCATATTGCATTTAACTTGTTTTTATAATTCCTGGTTTTTTTGGATACTATTGGTAAATAAAGAAATGAAAGTAATAGCTTTATTGTTTTCCTTTCCCTAATTAAAGCTGAATAGAGTAGTATGTAAGGACAGGTAGCAGTGGATTAACCTTTAGATATGATAAATAAATTTTCTAGTTCTGGTTATTGGTCCAGAGGGAGACATTCCTGTGATTTCCTCCTTCTTGGGATAAGTGAAACCTTGTTTTAACAAGAACAATCAGCCAAAAACAAGGTTGTGTGTGAGACCCTTTACCCTTTGGGTTTCAGGAGCCTTGAAGGAGGATTGAGAGACAGCCTGAGGAGCACAAATGTTTAAGCACTCAACTAATAACTGAAAGGTTTGTATGGCAAAGTCCACCAGAAGCACCTCAGCATAAAGGCCTGCTGCTCATCTACATCCAAAAAGTGACAACCATTAAATACCCTTCAAAGCACAGTTCTCTGAAACACAGGCGTTGTCATGAGTTGGAATTAACTAGACAGCAACTAGTTTGGTTTGTTGTTTTTGCTTTTTAGGTTCCTGAAGTGTTTCCTAAAAGCTTGGGATTGTAGTTGTGAGGGAAAGTTTACTTAGGAGCTGATAAAGCAATTTTAAAAAGAAAACAAATGGTCACAGATGGTGGGTTTGAGGTAGGAGGTGATGAAAAGCAATGGAGTCTTCCTATTCTGGGACAAGATTAAATAACCAAATGACACCCCATGGGTTTTATGGGACTGGAATGAAACCCAGTGTTGTTAGCTGCTGGCAGACCTGAGATGGTGGCCCAGGAAACGTGGATCATTCTCAGACACAGATTGGGTAATCTTAATGGCTCTTACTGAATACATACATATACCATTGGGATAAACATTTCCAGATGGGATCAATGTTGATTGGTCGAAATTTAATTCTACTTCATCTTGGAGATATGATCAAGGCTGCTTTTCCAATTTTCCGTTTTCAAAGGTATCAGGTAGTCTCTGCCCCTAACCTTGCTTCTAAAAAACACTTTACACTTGTTGTTGTTAGGTGCCTTTGAGTCTGTTCCAACTCACAGCGATTCTATTACAACAGAAAAACACTGCTTTTTCTGTACCCTCCTCAAAATTACTATGTTTGAACCAATTATGAAAGTCATTGGCAGTCTTCCTCTCTTTTGCCGCCCTTCTGATTTTTGGACTGGTCCCTACTAATAACATGTACAAATTGTATAAGGCAAAGCCTTACCATCCTTGCTTCTAATGAGCATTTTAGCTGTACTTCTTCCAACCGATTTGTTTGTCTTTCTGGAAGTCCTTTCCAACACCATAACTCAAATGTGTCAATTCTCTGGTCTTCCTTGTTCATTGTCCAGCTTTCACATGGATATGAAGCAATTGAAAATACCACAGCTTGAGTCGGGTGCACTTTCGTCCAAATCTACATCTTTGTGTTTTAACACTTAAAAGAGGTCCTTTGTAGCAGACTTGTCCAGTATATTATGCCATTTGATTTCTTAACTTGCTGCTTCCACAAGTGTTGATTGTGGATCTAAGTAAAATATAATCTTGACAACTTCAATCTTTTCTCCACTTAATATGGTCTATTTGTGAGGATTTTTGTTTTCTTTACTTTGAATTGTAATGCATACTGAAGGATGTAGTCTTTGATCTTCCTCAGTAAGTGCTTCCAGTCATCTTCCCTCTCAGCAAGTAAGGTTGTATCATTTGCATACTGCTGGTTGTTAATGAGCCTTCACACAAACTTGTTGCCACATTCTTCATATAGTTCAGCTTCTTGGATTATTTACTCAACATACAGGTTAAATAAATATGGTGAAAGGATACCACCCTGATACACACCTTTCCTGATTTTAAACTCCTCAGTATTCCCTTGTTGGGTTTGAACGACTGTCTCTTTATATATGTACAGGTTCCACCTGAACACAGGTGGTAAGTGTTTTGTAATTCCTTTTCTTCACAATGATATCCGTAAGTAATGATCCAAAAAGTTGACTGCTTTTGCATAGTCAGTAAAACACAGGTAAACATCCTTCTGGTATCTCATGCTTTCAGACAAGATCCATCTGACATCAGCAATGATATCCATTGTTCATGTCCTCTTCTGAATCCAACTTGAGAATCAGCTTCTTGGATAATTTGCTCAGCATACAAATTAAATAAATGTGGGGAAAGGATACCACCCTGACATACCTTTTCTGATTTTAAACCTCTCAGTATCCCCTTGTTGGGTTTGAATGACTGTCTCTTGATATATGTACAGATTCTACCCGAGCACAGTTAAGTGTTCTCAGATTTCCTTTCTTCGCAATGTTATCCATAGTTTGTAATGGTCCAAAAAGTTGACTGCTTTTGCATAGTCAGTAAAACACAGGTAAACATCTTTCCGGAGTCATGGTATACCAATGAAGGATAAGCACTGGTCATTTGATCCATAAGGTTGGAGGTTTAAACTCAC